GAAAAACCGTCTCTACCTTGACAGGTACCGGAGTGTATTTAGAAAAATCGTGGTACAACCATCTGTAGATCTAAATGCATCGATCGTGGGGCCGCACCTGACTGAACGATCTCCTCGAGGTCCGGTCGCGCAGCCTCTTCTCTACCTTTTACGGGTTTCACTCGTGTAATCTCTCACGTTACCATTCCGCCGTTCACGTGACGCAATCGATCGCGGATTCCTGGTGCACCGGTCGCGCAAGGATCTCGTCCCGTCGGCATAGTTCGCTATTTCAGGATCACGGCGTGGATCGAGCGCGTATCGATGCGTCACGTACGACGAGTCCTCGTTGCTCGTGCATTCACGCGGTCGACGCGTCGGACACATCTCGAATCTTTAATCCGACGCCTAACGTCGCGTGCATTTCTAAACAGTCACCTCTCTCTCTTTTTCTCTCCCTTTTTCTCCCTTTCTCTCTTTCTCTATTTTTTCTCTTCTTTTCTTTGTCTCTCTCTCTCTCTCCCGTTCGTTCAGCGTCCCTCTTTTCTCTCCTTTTCTCTTTCTTCAACCCCGCTGCTCTTTCTTTTCCCCGTCTTTTGTAGCAGCTCGCATGCCACTGGACTTGGCTCGGCAATCTCGTCAGCTTTGTCAGCGGGGATCTTTTCTGCCGCTTTCTTCGCCGGCGCGAACTAAATGGAACCCGCGGACGCATTCATTTCGCGGATCGAGGGAAAATGAAGCGGCGAGTTGCTGGGATCGATTCGGTGATACAAGACGTGGTCAGGCGTTTTAATGAACATCGAGAGGTGGTTCTGAGAGGAGAATTGTGTGTTTACGGGGAACTTGTTTGGTTTTTTGGAGTTTTTTAGGTAGATTGGAAGGATTCTTCTTTTTTTCATTTTTGGTGAGAGAAATGATTTTGTTTCGAGTTTCTTTACGTTGTTTTCAGTTTGGACTCTGTGATGTTATTGTGGTCTTGAAGAACGTTTTTAGGAGCATTTTTTTCTCGCAAGTGTGATTATGCATGTTCGTTTCACGATTGCACCATTTTTTAATGTGGAAATGTATATTTTTTTTACGTAAATCGAATCCTTTCGAGTCAACTTTTTTCGCAGAAATTAAATCATTGATGCAATATAAGAATTTCGAGAAAAATCGTTAATTTTCTGATATCTGCCAAAAATAATTCTAAAAGTGAGCTATTTTTATCTAAAATCACTAAAATTGAAATTAAAATCATAGCATTCAATAAGAGCAGTGTCACAATGTAAAATGGAGCTGTTTTAACAACAATGTTTTATTAGGAAACTTTAAAATTCAAAGATTATTAGGTAAATTTTAGAAGAAAAAAATTTTTTTAATTGCTAAATAATTTCCTGAAAAATTTAGTTGCGTTAGCTGTATCACTCTTCTAGCAAACCGGCGACATAACGAAAAGAGTCACAAGCTTAACATTCTCCAAGTGTTTTGCACTTTCTGATACTGGTATTGATATTCTTCGCCAGTCTTTATGTTAAGTCCCAATCATATCACGAATATCAACAGGAAAGAAGATTGAGTTGTTCAAATCCTTGTTAACATACTTAACACCTGGTCTCACACCGAATGACAAAATTCATTTGAAATATCTCACGAATTTTTTCACCACTTTGCCTCAATATTTTTTACCCGAAATAACTAGAAGATTTCATCTACGCAGAAAGAAAAATATTCATTCCCATATAAAAAAAATAGTGCAATTATATCCCAAAATTTATAGTTTCGATCAATATTTCCAACGAACCCTTAAGTTTGATTACAAAAAAAATGAAAACGTCGTCTAATTTCACAATTCTTTCTTTTTGTAAGTCTATTATATCGTGGCTATAGAATTTCCTAGAATTTTTGAATTTTCAGTCAAATATTTTTCACTTTTGACACGAACTTATGGGATGACCTAATAAAATACACGTACATCGTTACAATTCTAAAAAAAAAAAACATGGTCTTGAAAATGTAGTCTCTTCTGAACCATTCCCCTTCCTCTAATGTTAGGGCCTTGCGGTTGATCTTTCGATCGTTCAAGCTTTGCCGGTTTTTGCACGTGTGTGCCGACTAATGTTCTAAGGCTTCGAAGGACCAGTTTCTTGATTGAAACACTAAGTTTTTATTTTATGTTCTATTTTCTACAACTAATTCTAGATATAAATTCTACTGCGAAGTGAGAGGTGTTTCACTTGCGAGTGGCCAAGTGTTTCTCCTGGAGTCTCTGCGGTTTCCCTCGAAGAAGACTCCTATTTTCCTAAAAACACCCTGATTGGTGATTTTTCCTTTTCTAGATCAGCAATCAGTTTACTCCGGTGCATCGCAACCTCCCTCCATTTCGCCCTTAGCGCGTTATCTTAGGGTGGGGTAGACAACGACCGAAGAAAGTGTTCGATGGACGGATGCGTGGGAATCCTGTGGAATCTCCGCTTTTCTAGACTTCGTTAAGGTCAAGTGGCCCATCAACGTTGGCAAAAGTCGTGGGCCACTTTTCTATTTTCCGTTCGAAGACTCCAGGATTTATGGCAGGGTCTGGTCCTAGGGACTAAGTGTCGCAGGCAACGCAATAAACACTTGTGGTGTTTTGAGAAAGCGATATTTGCCTGCGACGGCGACCACTTGACTCGCTGCCATAAATCCGGCTACAGGATACGCCTTAACATATAAAATTCTTTTCCAACTGCAACTAGAAAAGAGGTGCAACTTGTTCCAGTTACGTGGACCAACCTGCGCAAACAGTTCCAAAAAAAATTCAGTTACATGTGCCGTGCAATTCTCTCTGAGACACGTTTTCAAGGAAAGGTGAAATTGAATTAGAACAGCCACGCAACTCGTTTTCATCAGGAAGAAAAGTCGCGCGGCGTTAATGTCGAGTCAAATTTCGCGCACACGCGTGTCGTCCTGTCTCCTACGCGATTTTTGCCAAGCTCCCGTCACGGTAGGCGGCAACACGTTATATAGGTTTCACGCAACACGTTTCGAGTTTCAACCGATCCCGACACTTTTTACGAGCACGCGAACGTCCGCGGTTTCCTCGTGCCACTGCACCCTGCCGCATGCTTGCATAACGGACCGCCGGTTGTTTCGGTTGCATAAGTGCAGGATCGATGCATCTCAGTGTTACCGAAAGGCCAAACCTTTGAACCGCTTCGACGTGAAAAATCTTCGGACGAATTGAAATTTGTGTTCGGTAAAATTGATTTGTTTTCTTCGTTTATTTTGCGTCGAGTGAGTATTTGAATCGGTTGGGAAAATTGGAAAATGTTGGTGTACTTGGTTGACTTAGAAAAGTGGGTTGATTCGTTTTCTTCGTTTATTTTGCGTCGAGTCAGGATTTGAATCGGTAGAAAATTTTTGAAGTAGGTATTGTATTCGATTAATTTGGAAAAATTGTGCATCTGGTGCTAGATTAATGGAAGGGATTATTAGTTTAATGGGTAGAATGGTGAGAATGATGGTAAATAGTGAAATTTTAATATTAATAATTAAATACAATATGGTCTGTGTATGTTTATTTTAGTATAAACAGTTAAATTGAAATGGTTAAATAAATGAGTATGATATAGTGAACTGGAAGAGT